AATTCACTGACACCTTTGCTACATAATTCTATACTTCCTTTGATTTGGATCCATGGATTAAACCATTGTTCCTATATGAAATAACTACAGAAGAGACAGTAGAAAACCTTTAAGATATTTTCCTGTTCATTTGGACCTTCTCAGCTTGGCATAATGGTCTGGAAAATTGCTATCCTGTCAAAGTAGTTTCAGCATTTCAAATATCGGAAGAATATTGAGAAAAGTTAAGAATATTTAAAATCTTTGACAAATGTTAATCATTCTGAAAACAGAATGGCTGTTATCTGTGAAAAGGCCCTTTGCCTTTTCTACAAATATGAGTGCTTTTATGAAAAAGTATAATCTAAAACAACGAACACATTAAATCAAGTTATGCTGTTCTATTGATGTATTTAAAAAATACTTTTAAAAAACCTTGCAGATAGACTCCTTAGTCAAAGTAGATCAAAATAGATTGGATACTAGAAAGATGGTCTCATTTACAACCCATACCCATAACACAACTTTTCTTTCTAAAATGTAAGCTTTCTCCTACACAGTTTAAATTCCTTTGAGGAGTTTCTGGAGTATATACAATATCCAAACTTTTCCAGTGTTTCCAAATGAACTGTGTAGCTGTGACCAACATGCTGTGATGACAGCTGCTACCTTTGTGGTTATAGATCTTCCTTGGCTCCAAGTGCTGTTGACATTAAGATTCCTTGAAGGCACAGGATGCAGAAAGTGAAAGCTCTTGGCCTGCATGGCACAGCCATGTTTAATACTAATTTAGCATCTATACTGAGCTTTTAAGTCAGCGTCCAAAGAACAAATAACCCTTTACTGGCTTATCAGACCAAGTCAATTCAATTTCAGAACTTGGCAACAGGTTTTTAGGTCATTTGTTACTTTTTAAACATTCTTTATGTATTCACTGAAGACTACTAACAAGTGTTCTTAAGCTTCAATCACAGTAACAGCCATTTAAGATGCACTTCCTGAGGAATATCCACTTGGCAGAGATCAAAGCCAAGTGAAAAAAAAAAAAAAAAAGAAATTTAGATGACAGAAGAGAAAATACTCAAGGTCACCCTTTAGGTCTGCCCTGCATAGGCTAGACTTCTCACAGATTGTCCCCTGAAATGGCAGAGCTCTTAGGGACTCACACGCATCCTGGAAGGTTGCAGGCGGCAATCATAGTACTAACAAAGGCAACAGACTGGAGGTTTAAAAAGTATCTAACTTTTAAAATGAGAAATTAAAAGTTATTATACATTTTCTGCAAACATAATTTTACAGAATTCTGAGAATCTTTTAAGGGAGCTAAGGATGGGTGCTGTCTATGAGCATGACATAGGTGACTAGACTTGAGGGTGAGGGACAGAGTTGAAAAGAGGGAAACAAAACATGATCGATTAAATTATCAGGGAAAGAAAAGAAACAGAAAGAAAAAAAGAGCTTGCAAAAATGCCAAATTAAGAGCTGCTCTTAAATATCTGTATCATCAAGGGATGAGGAAGGGCTTTGTAAGAGACAAAAGCTAGAATTATATTTAAAAATCAATCATTTCCACAAGGTGAAGACACAACAAAGTCACAAGACAAACTGGGAAGAAAATCTGCAGCATATATGAAAAAGGATTATCATCTCCAGCACCAAGGGAGCTTCAAAAGATGAATGAATACCCCAGCGGAAAAAATGGGCTAAGGACATAAACAGCTCATCACAGAAGTACAATGCCAATAAATTTTAAAAACTAGCAATCAAAATCTTAACATAGAAATGACATACTACTTCCAATTTTTCAGACTGTCAAAGTTAAAAAATATCCAGTATTAATTAGGATGGTAGATATTAAGTAATCATAATAAAACCAGACACATTATTTCTAAAGAGCAATTAGGCAATAAGTATCAAATTTTGATATGCCTATATTCTTTGACATAGCAAATTTACATTTAGAAATTTATCTTAAGGAACAATATGATAAGCTCACAAGTTATAGCGTACACAAGGGTTCCCTGGGATGTTGATTTTAATAATTAGAAGTTGGAAAGAATCTAGATGTCTATTAATAGGAGTTTGGTTAAATAAATTTATATATTTATCCAAATAACATAATTAATGCAGCCATTAAAAATTACATGTTTGTTTATATAGGAAGATGTCCATACTGAAGTCTCAAGGACAGAGATAATGAGAAATGACCCCATTTGTGTATATGCACGTATGTATGTACATATATGTATATCTCATTTCTATTAATATATGTATATATAACCTCATTTGTTTTAATATATATACATGGATATGTGAAGGATAAGAAAAATTAATTCATAATGGTAGAATCACAAGTGGTCTTTATTATACTTTTCTGTATTTCTTGATTTACTTTTGCATAAGTGTATTACTACCACATTCAGGTAAAATAAACAACCAAGACCCTACAAAACCTATTTCGAAAGCAATATATGTGTGGAAATTTTTTTCTCCAAGGAAGTGGAAGTAATGTAACAGAAGAGGAAGCTCAGGGAAACCCTTATGGAGTTGACCACTGTGGGAGAAATTTGGCCTGGATTTTAGTCCTTCTTATCTAGTGACCACATAGTTAGAAATTTAGGATTTGTCCAAAAACATTCAGAAAAAGTTGACAGACCCAGAATTTTATAAAAGTAAAACTACTTTTTACTTTTGTAAAAGGCCATTGATATATACCCCCATCAATGACATTTCAATCACAGATTAGGAATATCTCCACTAATAAAAATTTCTAAAATGCTTCAATGAGATGAATTTGTTACCTATGGGAATTATTATATTTTTATTTTTCAGTAACAGTTGACATACAATATTATATTAGTTTCAGGTGCGTGACATAGTGATCAGACATTTATATAACTTATGAAGTGATCACCCTAATAAGTCTAGTTCCCACCTGACACCATACACAGTTATTATAATATTACTGATTATATTCTCTATGGGAATTATTTTACCTATGATAAAGGTACCTGGGTACCACTATTCAAGCCAATTAAACAGGTTCCTCGGGATAATATACACCTTCCTTCCTTGTTTTCTTATAAATAAAGATTTTCTCCATTTGATAGAAATCTTTTCTACTATATAGATGAGGCAGAATATCTATCCCAATTAAAAATTTGAAAGTCTTTATATAAAAATATAATTAAAATCAAATGAGGTGGTAAACATGTTTTCTTCTTGGTCTATGTCAATGGTTAATATCTGTAGGGAGGAGCCAAAATAAGCCTGAATCAGTCAGAAATCTAGTCTAAATAATAAGAATTAAAGCACATCATAAAATCTTTTATCCTATTGAATTGAAAATACATTTAGATGACTTTGCTGCATGTCTATAAAAATATACTCTTTTGACACTTAATTACAGAATGGTTTAGAATCAACAAATGCTACCTTACCTCTTTACCATTTAGGCTTAGAACACTCAAGGCAGAACTTCCCTCCAAAAATGTAACCCACATTTTATCTTCTACAAATCTTCAAGAAAGAGAAAAACAAACAATAAAAAAACAGAAAAACAAACAATAAAAACATCATAATTAATACCTTAGCCATAACTAGCCCAACAACTAGTCTAATGGTTATTGATTAACAAGGGCCTACAGAGACCAGGAAGTAAAAAGACAAGAGGGAGAGCAGTAGGGCCCATGCCGACCTGGAGGGGGCACTCTTCCCCCTAAGCATTCACATTTAAATGTTTCAAATACTATGCTCATAAAATCGTCTGCCCGGAGAAATGGGCCTGTGGATCTCCAGTTATGATTCCTGCAAATCCAAGCTTTCATTTCATTGACAAGAGACGAAAGGGCCAGAGGCAAAATGGCTTGTTCAAAGTGACCTAGAATCCAAGCCTCCTGAACCTACAGGGGGTATCTTTTTAAAATTGTTGGCAATGGAGACTATCCCTCCTCCGAAGGTCCTAACCACTATTGTAAGGTTGCACTTGTACTACACTAGTCCCCTGACCCTAGTGGTGCCAAAGCATTTGGGGTCCCAGGGCAGGCAGAGTGAATTTCTTGGTCCTACTCTTAATTGGCAATGTGCCCCTTACACATTTCTAACTTTAACAAGAGATTCTGGTTCCAATATCCATGGATTTATGTAGGTCTTTTTAGAAGCTGTATTTTCTCTGTTTTTACTTACTAGGGTAAAAGCTTCTAGAGTTTTCTCCCCAATTAATATAAGCATCTACATGCATCTAAATTTGCCCCATCTACATTCCAGGGGGCCTCTTATTTATAAGGGGATTTACAGACTTCAGTCACTCCTTTAATGGTTGTCTTATTCTAGACCAAAAGGTGATCATCAGTGAAAGAAAGCTTTTGCTCATTTACTTTCATCCTCTGCTTTTCTTATTCTAACTTGTTCGTCTGAAGGTGCAACAACCAGGATATCCTAGGTGTGGAGGCAGCCCATTACCCTATAATGCTTGAGTTATGCCTCGTTTTGTTACCAATTTCCAATGGTGACAGCATTCGAGGGAAAGTTACTGGCTCCAATTTAATACCACAGGTTCTTTAGAGACTGAGTTATAAAGACAGAAAGGTCCTTTTCCTGTATCATAGGCTTCCATCTCTTATATACACTTGGATTCTAGCCCAGGGCAATAGTTTACATTTGCTCATAAGAACACTTATCTGCTACTTTGCTGCCCACTCACACAGTCCACATGATGCTCCTGGTGGTTTGGCATTTCTGTACTTGGCAAAGCTTACTGTCAGCTGTAAACTTGAAGATGGCACTATGTGCTTCCTAAAGCCTTAAGATTTTTAGAAATTTTTCATTTTATTTTAAAGCTTTAGGACAGATCTTTGTCAAAAGATTGTGGGAAGTGTAAATACAATTTCTTTTCAATTTGCTCATTTACTCTCTGAAAGGACTCCAGGTTTCAGAGGCCTGCTTCTCACGGTACATGAAATCATACCATCTTCATTCTGGCTTCTATTATGTTTAGAATCCATTACATACATGCTGATCTTCCCAGCAAGATTACAAACAGGGATTGAGTCTTCAATTTCTCTGCCCTTCCACACAGCACCTAGTATAGAGATTTGCCCACCAAAGATCTATAAAACATACCTAAATAAGCAGATGAACAGCACACAAAGAAATTTAATAATACCTCTGCCCTATAGAACTCAAACACATATATGTTATTCAATCTCTCAAAATTGCTGTATACTTGGAAGAGAACATTTTTTTCAAACAACGGAAGAGGCATCTGGTTCTGCAAAAAGCAGATGGTTAAGTCAATAATTGAAACCAAGACCAGAATGGATGACTTCTGAGTGTTCATCTGCCAGTGACGATAGTTGGAAATAAATGAGTTAAAATTTCATCATATTTCTTAAACTGAGGATGGAAAAAAAAATCACTCCACTTTACTCTTACCTCTCCTTAAAAAGTAAAATAGCAATCACATTCTCACTTTGCCACAGGGCTTATATGTCATCACATAGGACTCAAGAGATCACACCTAAAAGTGGCACGTTTCTGTCATCAATGGTTCATAAAAGTTTCCCTACTCAACTTTAAATTTTCTAAGTAGAGAATTTAGTTTTAAAACCTATAAGCTCTTTGAATAACATTTCTATAGTATGATTTTTCCTATAGTTTGGAAATAAAAATATTCACGTACTATTCAAACACTAAGGTAATTTCCAATATAGAAAATGTTATTTATGAATCATGAACAAAATATTTTACTCACCTTATGAGAATAACTTCACCAAAATTTGTAAACTGCTGCAGAAGCTCATCAATCAAAGTATCATCAAAGAAATTATTTTCTGGTACAGAACCTCTGATCGAGACCAATACTGTACCGTCTGGTGGACCCTGAACTGCAATTACTTCTTTATAAATGTTTTGCCTCTCTTCGGCTTCAACTTCAAATATATCTATATCAATCAGGGCAACAACAGGCCTTAAGGCATAAAGGAAGACAGACGTGTTAGAAATGTTTAAGACATATTTCAAAATAAATTTCAAGCATCATTAGAAATACTGAGACTGCGAAAACCTATGGTCAGAAGTCTTCAGCTCGGCTCTTCCATAATGCAGCAAAGTACCAGGAGTCCACGTGTAGAGGATTTTGCTTCCATCTTGAAAACTAGCATTTAGAAGATCTAAATCTTCAGCTGCAGTGAAAATAAAATGCAAGAGAAGCCACATGAGCGTGACAGAGCGGGGCGAGGAGCTATCTTCTTGCTTCACGAGCTTCAGTTGCCTGAGGCTGAGATGCCAGATACACTTGTTAATAGGCAGGAGGTCTAGACATCTTTAAGTTAGAAAAGTTTTTTTTGGTGAGGTTATTGTTTTACGTTTCACTTAGTAAAAATTAAGATGAGGCTTAATTTCTGAGGTTACTTAAAGGTCTGAGACCAAATGGTCTTTCATAAATAATTCAACAGACAAGTAGCAGCTCATAATATTTGTAAACCACTTTAGTTATTCACGTTAAAAACCTTAACTAGCACTCAACTGAAAATTTCATAAAAAATTTATTAAAATGTTTCCTTGCTTCTCTTTATATGAAATTATGTCACTGAAAGAAAATAGACTTAATAATTAAAGAATTATAAGGAAGTCTGAGAATATTTTTACAATCTGTTTTATATTTAAATTTTATTTATTCAACTCAAGATAACCTTTGTTGAAAAAAAAAATAGCCCTCCCCCCTTGATATTTATATCATTCCCTTGTCCTCATAAAATCTGCACCAACTCATTGAAATGAAAAAGTCCACTTCTCACCTGATCTGTCAAAAGGCCACTTCCTTCTTCTCCAGAGGACGCGGTCCGTCCACGCAGGCGTGCGGCACTTTTCACTGGTGTCATAGTCTTCAGAAAACAAATCATATTTATATGTCGGAGCGAAGGTTACTTTTCCTTCTAAAAATCCTCTAAAAATCTACAAGAAACATATACAAAATAAGTTAGTTATATATGAAGTAAGTTACTTGAAAAGTAAAAAAGTTCTCTTCACTGAGGGCAGCGTTCATTAAATGTCTTTTACGTGCTGGGGACTCTCACATGAAATTTGTGTGCATCTGAGAAACATTTCAAACACTGAATGGAAAAAAGCTGAAGAAAAAAATAACCTAAGACATGGCCGTTTTCACGTCACTTGTTCAACCTTCGATTCAACAAAGTACAAAGAAATGTGAATGAGAGAATTCCACTAGATGTGTGAGCTGTCAGGACAGAACTGTGAAAGATTTTGTAAATCATCCAGACTGATGCCTTATTCTCAAATGAGAACGTGGGGCCTAAAACGGTTAAGTGGTGCCCAAAGTGTTAGAATGTAAGTCTGATGACCAGGAAGGCACCATGTCAAGTGGCCACAATTGTCTCTACTTTGAAAAATTTGTTTTAAAATAAATTCTTCCAAAATTTTGTGGTCAAAGTTTTAGGAAATAAGTTTCAAAAAGGTAGATGATATGAGAAAGGAGAAAAGGAAAAATAAAGCATATTACCACAAGATCTTAAAGTCAAAACACAGCAGCCCTGAAGACTAAGATCTAAATTCACTATTACAGAGAGAATTTTTAAAAAGTATATTCTTCTACTTGAAAGTGAATCTTAATGAGATGTACTATATTTTTCTTCCTAGGAATTAATATGGGCTTTCCTTTCTTCTTCTTTTTTTTTTTTAAAAGGAAAGGTAGCTCTATATCTGTTAAACTATAGACAATTATTAAGTAAAAAAATTCTATGAGATTATACTAAAAAAGCAACACTATGATTAAGAAAGCATGTTTCATAACCAACATTCCCTCCTTCTCAATGCCGTATCTTCTTAAGTATGTAGATACCTGTCCAGCATTTTTCTGGTTGATAAGTTGATCTCCTGCTATGAGGGAATCCCAGTTTTGCTGTCTTATGAGCTCTTTAACTTCCTCATTAGGGAGATCAATTCGATAGTTGAAATCACCACACCAAAATACATAGTCATGGGAAAAGAGCATCCTCCCCTGGAAGGAAGGAGATGGAATTTTAAATTCAAAACAATCAACTGAAAAAATCTTCTACAACCATTTCTTTGCCTCAGATATGCTTGCCTCCCCTGGCCATGCCCTATTTATTTAACCCACTGCTAATAACACATGAAATATCTACTTAGGTCAACACTGTTGATATTTCTCTGAACTATCTTCAATTTTCAAAAACTGATGTAGAATTTGGGCTAAATTAAAATATTTTTCAAAGCGTCACCTTCAAGAATAAGCAGCAGGAGCTTACCATAGGAAAACTCAGTTTTCGTACTATTTCTACAAAATCTTCATTTCTTTCTTTGACCTGTGATTGCCCTGCAGCAAAGTGGCTGCAGACGAAGCAAAGGCTTGTTGTGTGGAATAACATCCGTATCGCAACGGCTCCCTTATTCCCAGTCGCTCCTCCCATTCCGGTCTTCACGGTATCGACCGCGACATCCCTTTAAACAATGAACTCTATATCAAAAGTCTGAAATGTCAATAGTTCCCTAAGCATAAGAAATTAGGAATGCATATTACATAATTATATAACTATGTCTAATGTGACAATTTGAGGGATAGGTTGTGAAATTGTGCTATTTTCACAATTTCTATTAGTGACTCTTTAATCAAAAACACATTTAAAAACAAGAACCATGAATAAATGTTTCTCTGACGCAACGAATACTGTGGGCCTTTTCCTTGTCATTGATGGTCAGAAGTAGCCCGAGGAGCGCATTGTACACTGACCTGATGAAAGGCGCATGCTGTGGCCTGATCATGGTCAGAAGTAGCCCGAGGAGCGAGGAGCGCGTTGTGCACTGACCTGATGAAAGGCGCATGCTGTGGCCTGATGAAGACAAACAGGCACACGCCCACCAACTGCTCAGAAGCCAGCAGCACGTACTTATTGTCCCTGGAGATGGTCTTCTGAAGTTCCACGGCCCAGAGCTTCTGATTCGTTGTGCTACCAGAACGTATCAAAAAGGGAATCTTTAAAAAGATATTGACAATATAGCCTATTTTTTTGACAGCTGTCAATCATACCTTTATATACCCAAATTTAATAAGACTACCAATAATCATGAAATCCCTATCAACAGGGAAATCTTTCTGTGTGCTGGGGTTTTTTTTGTTTCCTTTAAAAAAGAAACCCAAATTTAGCCAAAAGAACTCCGCATTAAATCTAACCTACTATGCCTTTACAAAGAAATTTAAACTCACTTACTTTTAAATGAGTACTCACCACATGAGTAATCTCAAGCTGCACACTTTACTTTTTCCTTAAGTATTCATTAGGATAATAGTGAAGTACAAGCTCCCAGATATACTTCTCCCTTTTCTTATTTTTTCTGGATTATAATATCTCTTAAAAAACTTACTATAGAAAAATTTAAATATACACAGGAAAGAGATCATCATAAAATAAACCACCATATACCTATTACCCAGCTTCAACACTTGCCAATCTTTTTCTGTCCATCTCCTCTCACTTTTTAGTGGGGAGAGGAGGATACATTTGAAAAATTTTAAACCAAATCTAAGATGCATGCCACTGAACTTATACTTTCGTATGTAGCTCTAATGCAAAAGAGCATTATTTTTACATAATCACAATGCCATTCTCGCACTTAAATATTAACAATTCTTTACTATAATCTAATACTCAGCTCATATTGAAATTTCCCCGATTATCTAAATTATGTCGTTTTACAGTTCCTTTAAAACAGGGTCCAAACAAGGCCCCCATGTTGCATTTGCTTGTTATGTCTCTTGAATCTCTCTTAATCTTTGTCTTCAACTGTCCCTACTCCCTTTTTAACGCCATTTATTTTTTTTAAGAAGCTGAGCCATTTGTCTGTAAAATATTCAACACTCTGGATTTGGCTGATATGTCTTCATGGCATCTTAACATTTGTTAAGCGTAACAAATCTATCTCTCGCATTTGTTTTAAACTGGTAAATGTGGAAGCTTAAGAAACACATTCAATTTTATTTATTTGTCTTGGCAAAAATAACCTCATGGGTGGTGCAGTCACCCTTCCATCACAGCAGGAAATGCATAATCTCTGTGATGTAACACCTGATCAGCTGTTCAGACAGTGACAATATAATTAACTCTTTACAATAAAAGTTCCCCTTTTAGTATTTCTTCTAAGGTTTTAGCATCCATTGATTATCATTGCCTAAATCCATTATTTCATTAAGAGTTGCAAATGTTGATTTTGTAATTTCAGCATTCTATAGGCATTTGTAATAAGTTAGAGTTCTTCAATAAAGAACTTTTAACTATTCATTTAGTCTGAAACAGTTTAGACAAAAATGCTTATTAACTCTATAAATTTTCAGAGTAATAAGTTTGTGCTCAAGAACCTCCAATGGAACACACGAAAAAAGTTTTTCCCATTGTTCCAGATCACACAAATGACAAGTGACAAACCAGAATGACCTCACATCCATTTCTCTAATCTAACACTACACCACACTGCTTCCAATACACAAATCAAGAATGTGGATTCTCTACCTACCATAATCCACCATTATGACTTGGTTTCTGAAAAGAAAATGGCGGCTTTCATCTGTTTCTTCAGCTTACTCAAGTCATCCTCTTCATGAACCCTACCCGAATCATTCCATTTAAAACACACACACACAGCCCTCCTCCACATGCCTGATCCCTTTATTTGTATTTATTTTCCATGGCACGCACCACCTTCTGACATGCCATGGAAGTTACTTATTATAGTTATTGTTTATTGTCTGTCTCTTCCCACTAGAAGGCCCTACTGAAGGTAGGGCTTTTTGTCAGTTTTATTCACTGATGTATCTTTAGAACCTAGAGTAGATACTCAATAGATATTGGTTAAATAAATGAATAAATAATCACAAGTTTATTAAAGGGTAATGTGATTAAACTCTGTTTACAAAACAAGTGAACAATTTGGTAGTGGGAACCTAAGAGTATGTTCTAAGACCTGAATATATATTTTCAAACAGCAAAATGAATGAAGTTGGATTTATTTTCTACTTCCCTGTATGAACTGCTATTCACTCTGGCTTAAAAAAAGAAAAGGTCATTTGCAAGACTGATACCATACTATTCCAGCCCATAATTTTATTCTGAAAATCTCTTAAAATACCATAAAAGATGGGCAACCGCTCAACTTTAAAAGCAGGCATACTTTGTTGAAATAAAGCACTTAAGCCTCAGGTTTCACTTAAATAATTTGTATTTGTAATAAGGCTTTTAAGAACAGTGGTCCTCAGAGTGTGGTGTGGGATCATCCTTGGGGGTCCCCAAAACCCATGAGGTCAAAACTATTTTCCTAATACTGTTAAGGCACTGTTTGCCTTTTTTATTATGTTGACTGACGTTTGTACCATGGTGAAAAAGCTACATTGAGTAAAAGTACTGATGCCTTAGCATGAGTTCAGGCAACAAACTGTACTAGTATTCCTTATAGTTTTCACTGCCATTCGCCTGCAGTTTAAAAAATGCCATTTCACCTAAGAATATCCTTGATGAAGCAACAAACATTAATTTTATCAAAGCTCAATCTTTAAATCATATCTTTTTTATACTCTGCATGATGAATGGAAAAAACACTCAAAGCCCCTCTACTGCGTACTGAATGAAATATGATGGTTGTTTCACAGAAAAGCACTTGATAGTTTGAGTTGAGAGCTGAACTACCACTTTTTTCATGGACTACAATTTTTACTTAAAAGAACTAATGACAGACTATAGTTACTCAGACAGACACATTATTTGGCAAACATTTTTCCAACTAATCCTGTCTTTTCAAGGGAAACAACCAATAGTATTTATTTCCAATGATAAAATTTGAGTTTTGAAGCAAAAATTAGAATTTTGGAAAACTTGTATCTACTGTGATCTTGACAGCTTTCAAATACGTAAAATTTGCTAATGAGATCAGTATGACAGTAACCAATATTTTGTTTTGATATTGTATAATGAAATGTGTCAGTTTGGAAGATCTATAATAATTCAGTGAACTACTATTTTCCAAATGACCAATACGTGATGTTTCAAAATCATGCAAGAGTAAAAGACAGACCGATAAATTTTAATAGAGCACAAAAAATTAATTGCCATGGTTTTATATTCCATAGTGCAACTAACCTTTAAGAAACTATTCGTTGAGTTTCGGTGTAGTCTTAAGAGAAGAAATTATCTTAAAAGGCTATTAAAATAATTTCATTTCCAACTAACTATTTTTAATGTGATTTCTTCATATACTTCAACCAGAACAACATATTACAATAGACTAATGCAAATCTAGATGTGAGAATCCAGCTGTCATAAGTCTGATATTACAGACCTCTATAAAAACCTAAAAAAAAAAGCCATCCTTCTCAGTAAATTTTTGTTTAGGAAAATGATTACTTTTCAGGAAAAAAAAATGTTCTACATGTTAACACATAATGGGCTTTTTATTGTTATTTTTAAAATCAATTAAATGTTTTTAAATTGTTTTCAATTTCCAATCTGATAAATATCGAGAGATATAACCTATAGAAAGTTCTTTAAGATTTTCAATATTTTCAAGAGTATAAAAAGATCCTGAAACCAAAGTTTGAGAACTCCTATTTTACAGTTTAAAAAGGACCTTTACATATATTATCTCAACTTCTCTTTTAACAACTACTTAGTTATCTGCCCTCCATGACCTGGAAGTAGAAAACTTCCCATGTTGTTTTTTGTTGTTAATGCTTACCTTGCATTTACAATGTTTCCAGCATTCAACTCTACCATTTCTTCAAAACCAATTGCAAATATATCAGTTGGCTTGCTTCTTTTATCTATAAGCGTCCAAGAAAGACTTTTAAAATACAGCCTTAGTCAAATGCCACCCTTCCTTCTCTCCTCCCCACCTTGTGTCAACAACTAAGATCGATACCAGACCTCACAAAAATCCATTTTTGTGTTTTAAATTTCACCAGATTCAAATTAAAGGCAAAATCCCATGAGTGAGACACAATTACTTTAAATTTACACTTCATTCAGGAGTCCTAAGTTTTGCTTCTTTAAAGTTGTTATTCCAGACGATCCTTAGGTCCTTTCAGGAATCATTTTGAAAGAATTCTTGCTAAAGTTTGAACCATGGACAACAGAGAAACAAGCCACTTCTAAAAGGTAGAAGTGAATCAAAACTGGAGAGGTAAAGGAAATCTCCAGAAAAGACTCGAACAATAAAGTGGTTGAGAAACCACCTCAAATTAGAGATAACAGTTGGGAGAGATTTTTCACATTCAAATTTGAAAACCACAGGCTTGTTCTTTTTGCTATTTCCTAGGCGGAAGGAATCAAGGGAAACTATAAGAGATTCAGTGGTGAAGACATGCCCCTCCATGCTAGCTATTAATTTTCTACTAGTTGACAAGTACTAAGAACAGAAGCTGCTCTAGATAAACAGCCCAGGGGACCTTGGGTAGCCTAAGTATTCAGGAATGAGGATAAATAGATAGAAATAACCTGTAAATACTATGAACTAGTACCGAGAAAAAAAATTAAAATGTTTAGTTACTGCTATTATATACAAGGCTTATACATACATCACCTCATTTAATAATCACAAAAATACCTTATGAGACAAATTATTTTTGCCATTTATTTACAGACATGAAACTGAGGCTCTGAAGAACTAGCCACTTGCTCAAGTTCACACATAAAATATGGCACAAAGACTCTGGAACCAAACTGCCTGAGGTCAAGTTCCAGTTTTGCCACTACACTACCAGCTGCATGACCTTGGACAGGTCACTTCCCTTACTGTGTCTAAGTTTCCTCTTCTGTGAAATTGGAATAATAACAACAGTATCTAAGTAGTAGAGCTGTTATAAGGATTAAATGAACAGGTGTAAAATATTTACAATTGTAATGTTAACTGCTATTTTATTATTATTATAATTCTACTACAACTACGCCTCAAGGACTTCAAGTTAGGTTCAATGTAAAATGTGAAAAAGTACATTTTAATAAAAGTTTGGGAAAAACCCCGCGGTTTAAGATGTGATGATTAAAGATAACTAAAAAAAGTAAAATTTGTATCTCACATAATTTCCTATGCATACCACCTTCATATACAATACTTGGTAAATGTGCACCATTTTAAAAAGAAAATTAAAGTTGACTTTAAAAAAGGAAGCAGCCTGGAATTCATGATTCTAATCAAATCTTAATAAAAGCATCCTTATGCTTTTAATGTTTGGTTTTGGCTATTAATAATGTGGTGGCAGAGTACCCAAATTGAATGACAACCAATTTTTTTGCAGGAATAGAGCGGTACTGTTAGGTTAGAAAGTACCAACAAATGTTATAAGTTTTGTAAGACAGCTTATGATCCACACTGAATATTTCATATTTTAGTAACTAAACAGAGGACTAGATTTGAAAAGTGGCACTAGGTTTGAAAACTGAAACTCAAATTATCAATTACAAAATAAGCTTGCTTTGTGTCAGGTTAAAAGAATAAAAACAGAACTGATTATTCTTATATGTGTGGCTGCCTTTAAAGATATCTATTTATGTATGAATCCTAATTTCCTGAGAATATCAAAGGAAAAGATCTTATTTTACCATTAATGTTTCTTTTTTATGAAGTAGAAAAAAAAAGATCTAGAAATAAAAAGGATGTAACCTTTTAACAGATTTGATCTATAAAAAAGCTGGCCCTCAAATTTATAAATCGAAGCTTCTTTTAGAAAGCAATGCATATTGTGAAGTGCTACACTGTTTTCTAGATTCATAAATCACAGTCAGAATTAATTAATTAAATCCACTATTATAAAAAACTCACCTTGAAACTCCTGGATCCCAGCTAACTTGGGTGCATCAAGAAGCCAGTCGGTGAGTGTCTGATTCTTAAAAGCTATACTGCGAAACTGCTTCCCACCATTCACATTCCAGGTTCCAACACATACTCGAATTTTCTTGGGCTTTGAATACTTGTAGAAATTCTCACACATGCTCTTTAGTACTTTAGAAGAAGCTAATGAAAAATAAAACACAGGAGGATTTTAGCTTCATTAAAGCACTTATTAAAATTGATTTTCATAACTGAGAAATGATGTCTGGAAAGCACAATTATCATGATAAACACAAACAAGCATAACATACATGCAGAAGCACAAAAGAGATAACAGCCTTGAACGCAAAGCCCAGCACTTATCAATAGACTAACAAAATTAAAAAAATAATCGACCACATTAAATACAATAACTAAGTAAGAAAAGCTGTTACAAAATTATTGCGGCAACATAAAACATGCAGAACAAACAGTTCTATTTCAATGAAATGCTATATTATTTTATAATGTATAAAATTAGAGACAGTATATTTTTAGGAATACAGCAATTGACTTTCAAATAACTTTCATTCAAAGGCGGGTAAAAATATAAATTTTATTTCTCCCCAAACAAAAACATTTACACTTAAGATTCTAGTTATTGACAGGTGGTTTGATGATTATGGCTCCCTTACAAAAAATACGAATTACAGATGACAATGAGATGTCGGAGAATGAAGTCACTAATAAACGCTTCCCATCTCACTCAGGGTTGAAGCACAGCCCTTAACTATGGCTACAAGGCCCTAAATGATTTCCTTTGCCTTTCTGCCCTCACCTGCTACCCAGCCCTGTTTGCCTACTGCTTGGCCACTGGCTTCCTTGCTATTTCAAAAGGATGCCAGGCCTGCTCCCCACACTGGGCCTTTGCACTGGCTGCTTCCACTGTGTGCAACAC